ATATATATATATATATATATATATATATATATATATATATATATATATTTATATATATATATATATATATATATATATATATATAATTATATATATTAAATATATAAAAAGTATATAAATTACATTACTAGAGAGATTAAAAAATGATAGTTGCCTAAATATCCTGATAATGTTAATTCTGTTGTTATTAAAATTTTATTAGTTTTGATAAAATTTTTTAGGTTCAAAATCATAAATAGTTTATGAAAACTTAATTTTGTATCTACTATTAATATTAGCACATTTTACTGTACTAAAAATTTAACTTACAGTTCTGCAGTTCAAATATTTTCGTAATATAAAAATTAAAAACAGCAGTTTTTTAATATTTATTTTTCGAGAAATATGGTAAAATTAATTTTTATGGAAATTTAAGTTTTGATAATTGCTTTGTTAGAGATATTTTTTTTAGGATTTATGATATATACATAATTTGGAAAATTGATATAATTTTGTGATTAAGGAAAAAATATTTAGTTCTATTGGTGAGTGTCTATCCAATTGAACTAACACATTTCAACACAGAAAGACACGCTTGCCTGGATAGCTCAGTCGGTAGAGCATCAGACTTTTAATCTGAGGGTCCAGGGTTCGAGTCCCTGTTCGGGCGGTTTTTTTTTTTATTGCTTTAAACTGAAAAAATATAATCTTTTTTAACGTCTACTTTAATTATGTTAATTGCAATACATAAAACTTCAAGAATTGTCTTTATATGTATATGATCTATTATATGTATATCGAGTTACATGTATATGTAGTACATAAATTTCATAGATTTTTATTAGACTTTTTTATACAATGTACGATGGTGTACATTGACTAACTGTGTTTTCAATGTTGGAATAATATGCTGTCTATCATAGATACATATACATCAATTAACATTTTATGAACATATATTCTAATATCAAACAAATTAAATTTAAGCAGCTGGTTTTGGTTTCATTAAATCTTCAAGCATTTGTTGTTCCGCTGAAACAAAAAAACATTATATTTAAATATCCTCCCTCTTTCTCTTACATTTTTCAATATTTATATAATATTTAAAACCAGGTGCTCTTTTTTTAATCAAAGATTCTCTTATTAATTTAGAGTTTTATTTATTAAAATTCAATTTGTAAAAAAAAGCACTATTTTATATATTTTTTAATTTATTTTTTATTAGAGAAAAATTAACTTATTTAATTTGAAAAATTATTGCTAAAAAGAAAAAATCATTTGAGATATTCTATATACAAAGTATAGAGGAAACATTTTATGCTATTTTATGAAATAATATTCTGCAATAGTTTTTTTTTTTTAAATATATCTATACACACATAATTAAAGATTTTACCTATAAGTGTAAGCCTTTTCTCTTCAGCTAGCTTGGCATCACGCATAGGTTTAAGTCTCAGTTCTTCTTCTCTGCGAGCATTTTCTCTTTTACTAAATTTACGCTGAAAATATGCACCATATGCGATCCCAGTAATAAGTAAACTCCAACGGCAGAACTGCAAAACGCAAGTGCAATTAATAAACAAGGACCTGTTTACATATCATATTATACTAATATACATATTGTTTTGTAAGCTCAACTTATGGAACAAGTAAAAATGGTGATTTTATTTAAAAAGCATTATAAATATTATCATAAATCAGTATTATTCAAATTTTGAACATATTTTAATAACCATACATTAAATAGAATATTGGAAGTGTATAGAAAAGTAGAAAATTGTGACACAATCTCCTTTCATTGAAAAGCAGAGTTGTAAACGCCCATAACAACAAAACAATTGTCAGCTGTCTTTTATGTATAATTATTAATTCCATGTATTTTGAAGAAACAGCAGAAAAATTATGTAATGAAATTAGTTTGACCGCCGAAAGATGATAAAATCTAAAGCAATCTTTTGAAGTGATGAATGGATTTTGTAATAAAGCAAAGAATACGAAGCAGATATACGGTAAAAATATATCTCGAGAAACTGTCAACTCTACCTTAATAAAAGGAGAAACCCGGAGAGGTCTCGGATTCAGCTCGGCGGTCGACATCTTGCTCATGAATGAAAACCGTTCGATACTCACGAGAGTATTCACCATATATATAATACTACTATATTGCTACAGGAGAGAGAAGTCCGACCCCAGAACCACGGTGCAGGAATATATATTTCTCTCTCTTTCTGAGTGTATCATGAACGTTATGCGCATGTGTCAGATAGATCGTACCCGCCAATGGGAAAATAAAATTTATTGTACAAAGTTGCATGTAATAGGTTATATATATCATATATAAACATGAGCACGCGGAGATGGTATTTATACGAAAAAAAGCAGCTGCAAATGAAAATATCAGTTTACACAGCAAGGAAGCTATCCAGGTTAGGTACATGTCACCCACTGGAACTTTTACTTTATATATATATATATATATATATATATATATAACATCATCTGATCGCCGCGCCTGCACGCTACGATCAAAATACACTCTTCGAACATCGTCTGTCCTTCCATTCTGGGACAAACTTCTCTAAAGGTCGTTCTACATTATAGCGTGTTCGACTGGCCCTGGGTTAGGGCTATCGCACACAAATTGACATAACTGCATATGCATAGCATAAGATCGTATGGACCAATGAGCATCGAATATTAAGCATCGAACACCAATATGGCGACTTAATACTCGATGCTCATTGGTACATACGGTCTTATGCTATGCATATGCAGTTATGTCAATTTGTGTGCGATAGCCCTTAATCACTCCGAGAGCGATTAATGACGTCATAAGTCTCTACAAGCCAATCATAAAGCTTATAAGTACTTATTCGACCAATAAACGTAGACTGAATAACCCAGAGTGGGTTAACCCAGAGCCAGTCGAACATGCTATTAGTTGCAAGCTGATCGCAAGCAGACGTAATTCTTATTGCGACAGCCAATCAGAAGCGTCAATAACACCATTGATGCTTTTGATTGGCTGTCGCAATAAAAATTGCGTCTGTTTGCGATCAGCTTGCAACTAATGGGTGATTCCAATAATGGGTGCTTTCCAATTGCTTAACACATCTTGACACACACATACACAAAACCAGTTTATTGGTCACATATTATCTAAAATATCTTGTAAGATAATATGCAACCAATAAATTGGTTTTGTGTAACACAATGTATGTATCTGGAAAGCACCCAATATCTCTCCCAGTCATTTTCCTAGAGTAAAAATAAGTTACAGACATCACCATCTACTACTATTATGTGATTCGTGACAATCCAAAGCTACCTAAAATCCGTATCAGACTACAGACTGCACAGGCCGACCCGACTGCCGACTATGACCGCCGACTCTCAATGGACCAATCATAGTGAGGCGCTGACTCGCGCCTCACTGTGATTGGTCCATTGAGGGTCTGCAGTCGTAGTCGGCAGTCGAGTCGGCCTGTGCAGTCGCTAGTCTGATATGGGCTTAATGCTGTCTCACGACTGCAAGCAGTGGGTTAAGCAGAACAATACTGTGACAAATACACAAGATAATAATTTTGTAAAATTGTATTATTGATTATAAAATCATCTGGTGTTGTTTTCTAATAAAATTTTATTTATTTTTAATTAGAGTTATATAACCATTAAAATACATATTATATTTTTAAAATATTATCCTAAAGTAAAAAGTCACACTGTTTTAACCTATTTGCAAGTATTGTATTTACATGACTCATGCATGTGCAAGTCCACAATAAATTATGCCATTAGGTTATATTGATGACAAAACAAGATAGATTTGTTTGCATAGTTTGTTTTAAATTGTATGTAATTCTACAACATCATATAAATCGGGAACATCATATAAAAATCCCACATTTTTTTTTAAACATTGTCGTAGCATATTCATTGACAGGTAAAAGAATTTGAAATTTTGCTGTACTATAATAATTTATTGTTTTAAGTTTATATAAACGTTCTTGCATTATATGTTTTGATTACAATAAACTATATTAACATTATTAAAATAGATTTTAAATCTATCTTGTTTTGTTATCAATATACTCTAATGGCATAATTTTTGTGGACCTGCACCTGTAAAGTCATGTAAAACAATACTTGCAAATAGGTTAAAACTATAAATAGTGTGACTTTTTACTTTAGGATAATATTTGAAAAAATGTAATATATATTTTAATGGTTATATAACTTTAATTAAGAATAAATAAAATTTTATTAGAAAACAACACCAGATGATTTTATAATCAGTAATACAATTTTACAAAATTATCTCGTGTATTTGTCACGGTATTGTTCTGCCTAATCCACTGCTTGCAGTCGTGAGACAGCATTAAGCCCGTATCAGACTACCGACTGCATAGGCCGACTCGACTGCCGACTACAACTATCGACTCTAGTCAGTCAATCACACTTATCGACGTCTGCCGCCGACTGATCGTACTAATGACATCTGCTAGAGAACAAAAAGTGCAATAAATAGGCGCGTTCAGCGGAAAAAGCGCTCAGTGAGCAATCAGCG